GCTCAAGAAGTTGCTACAGGTCAATGTCAATTTCCTACAATTCATTACAACCCAGCTGCTCATCCTAGACAAATCTCTTTATTAGATGCAAATGGTCAATCAATTCTTTACACATTGATACCATCAAATCAAGATAGTCCAGCACAAGTTACACCGCAGTTGCAACCGAATAATATCGCTGTAATGCCAAATGCCACGCACATTCCACATAATGCGAATGCGTGTTGTATCTGTGGTAGTCATCCTGTTGCTAAATGTAGTTATGGAATAAGTCGTGGACGACCTTGTGGTCGTTTATTATGTTTATCACATGTATGTGAATTACCTGGTGGAAATGGTGGAAGATATCCACATTGTCCTGAACACTATCAATATATTCAACAAAATAAATGTAATGTTATGTAATCGAGTATTAGTTAGATAATGTGATCACGCTGAACTTTATATTGAGAATGAAGATAACAAGTTTGCATGAATACAGGAAAAATAACTAATGAAAAGTCTTGTTCTGTAATATTAATGCTTTAAAATAAAAGAAAATAAATAAAACTTTTTTTTTATTGATTGCGAATTAAATCAAGAGTCATAAGATCCAATGCAAAAGTCTTTGCACAAATGCCCAACTCTGTTAGATCGTAGTATCCACTTTTGAATCAGTCGAATTTTGCACGAGATATATTTTATCAGAACTAGTCTGGAAAGCAGCAGTGTTCAGACTTCCGAAAAACGAAATTTCGGAAGTTTCAGAAAATTTAAACACTTGTATTCTAAATTGTTTGGTAGTTTCCAAAATTATGTAATTTCTGAAATTTCTGAAATTTCCGAAATTCTGTATCTAGCGAAATTTCTGAAATTACAGAAATTTCTGAAATTTCCAATATTTCCAAAAACTTTCCATTTGCTTTGTTATGTAGTTATCGAGTTGATGGAAGCTTCGGAAATTTCTGTAATTTCCTTTTTCGGAAATCTGAACATACCTCACATCCACACCCACACACCTACACCCACCCACACCCACCCACCCACACCCACACCCACACCCCAGCCACTCACACCCACACCCACCCACCCCACACCCACACCCACCCACACTCACACCCACCCACACCCAAAATCTTCAAGTAATCATCACGATAGTTTATATGATAACTATGTCTAAGATGGTAGTAACATAATCAATACTAATATGTGGATCATCATTCACTAGATCCTGGACCGCATCAATATTCTGTTGAGTCATGACAGATAACGAACGAACGACCATTCCGAGGATCATCATCTAACGATTCCTATCCACCTAAAAACCGATGAATCCAATTAGCAACTGTACTATATGAAATACACCTTGCCCATAAACAGCAGTTAATTCATCATGAATTTATGTGTAGCAATTAAACCTAATAACAAACGAGCTTTTATATACGAGTGAATACAAAGTTAATCGATCTGAAAAAAATCCATTAAAGATTTGCCATAACAGGCACTTGTGAAACTTCGTATTGATATTGTAATACACAAATGATGCCATTACTAGAATAGGCCAACATGAGGAAGAAAATCAATTAGGATGAAATTTTAGACGGTTGTTTGCAGAATTTTTTGACTACCCTATGTATAAGAGAGGATTTGTTGGTCTTATTTTAACTTCTTCAGTTCATGGAAAGCTATAATTCTAATTTTGCTTTGTTGTACTCAGGATCCACTGAATTTAAACATGCGTCACAATATGAACGAGAATACTCTTGCACTATACATACGTGCATCACAACAACTATGTTTATAATAAATGGATATCGATGGAAAAGAAATATGAGGCAATATGTTTTCAATAAGAGCTGATGTCGAACTATTGATACTATCAACATCTATTCTATTTGATACGTTATGAAAATGATAAATCATTTCCAAGCAAAATGTGATTGTAAAACTCATCTATCAACAGTTTCTGCTTGTATACATGCGAAAGGAAGCTATATATGTTTGTATACAGTTGACAAATAGTGAAAACTTGTATAATAACCATGAATCTTATATTTGTTATCTTCTTCTTGTATCGACGAACGAAGTAGATTTTATGAGTCGACAGCGATATTTAAAACGCGAATCCTTTTTCTTTTAAATTCAAAAGCAACAGAAAACAACACCATCATTATAATGCACGCTTGATGTCTTTGGGCAAACATAAAAATTTATTCCTCGAATGGAAAAATTGGCCATGATGTTGATTGCATTATGATCTTGTTGGATTTCTTCTGAAAATGCAACTATGATAAACAAGAAAGATCAACAAAAATGTACATTAATAAATGCGCATTAATGTATTTTTATTATTGTTACCACTGATGTTTTTCTTCGTTTGTGCCTGTACAGTCGGTGACAATGTGAAAGCAGCCTGTGCCAATAGATGAGTGTTGAAGAAAATCAAGGATTCATTTTTCTTTCTTTCTTTCAATGTGATTGAATCTTATCAAGAAATTTTTGCCACTGTCTGTCTCTATACTTCTACCGAGTTAACAAGTTTTAATGAATAAGAGTGCGCTAAAGTCTATTCAACACAGTTTATTACATCACATCAATTTCGTTTCCCTTCATGGTCATTAATACACAGCCATCTGATGTCGCTAAAATCCATATGTTAAGTATGATTAAGATAATGTTCAAAAGATCGTTAAAACCGAATGAATCTATTCAAGAAAGTGTTCTGTAGGAGTTACATTTTTTTTGTCTGACAAGAATACTTTTCAAGTTCTCATGATGTAGATAGAGTTTCTCGAAACCCTTCTTAGTAATGATGAAGAAAATATTGATGAGTGATGAAAGAAAGATATTACTGAAACTTGAAGTGAAAATAGAAAAAATTTGAAAACTTCAGTACGTATTTATGATTGACTAATACATTGATAGCAATGAAGTTCATCAGCTTTCACCTCTAGAAGTACATAAAAAATAGATCTCATATTTCAATCGGCTTATGCTACTACTCGAGCACGTCTGTAGAGCTAGAGCCGACGATTATTCAAAGTTAACAAATAAAAGAAGGCAATAAACAATGGACTATCCATCTATTTTGATAAAGTTCCAAAAGGAATAGGGTGACAACATTGCATCGTCAATGAAAGTGTCCATCGGAGTCAAGAACAGTAATATACATGAAGTATGGATATATGAAATATATCATTGCCTCTAAACAATGAACTCGCAATACTATGGAGAAGGATGTGGTTGTCGGTGCGTGCTTTCTCTTCACTCACATCCACACACCCCAGGATTCAAGCTTACTGATCCATACTCTTATGAATCTAAGAATAAATGTAAATTGTCATAGATAGCAAACTGGTTAAGTGAATTTTGTTGATAAAAAATCCTCCCATTTTTTAATATTTATACGTCCTAAGTTATTTTCCAGTGACATCTAACCAGTATTCATATTTTTCTCAGAAATGTTTACATTTCACTCAAAAACAACTTACGATATATAAATATAGAATGCCAAGGATTTTTTATCAACTAAACTCACTAAACCAATTTGTTATCTATAACAATTTACATGTATTCTTATATTCATAAGACTATGAATCGTAGTTATGATTAGCAGTCATTGATTCTTTTTTGCTTCATCATTTTGTTGACTAGGTCATGTTTAGATTGACCTAAATAAAAGAAAATAATTATTTGTATAAATGAATATGTACTGTCTATTTTAGTGTTCAGATTGACCTAAAGAAAAAGAAAAAAAAATACGTATATGAATAAATACTTACCGTTCATTGAGATGTTGGATTGATCTAAAGAAAAGAAAAATAATAATATTTTGTATAAATAAATACTGGTATACTTCGCTATTTTTTTGACCGGTGGTAGTTCAAGTAAATGTATGACATGGGATGGCTACATTTAAACACATACCCACTTTTTCTCTACTATTAACTTTATTAGAATGATATGTTGTCTTGTAACTCTTTTGTTGAGTCACTTTTTTTTGTCGAGTTTCCTAACTGGCGTCCAAGCAGATAAAAGCTTTGAATCTTTCTGTTTAACAAGATGACTAATATTTTTATTCAAAACACAGTAGAGTAGGTGTCATCTAATCGTTGAAACTCATTGCTATTACAAAAAAAGAATGATAACCGAGTTACAATAAGCAATTATTTGTTGACTTGGTTCTATATGAATAAACACATAGAAAGTAATTGATTCTCGCATTAAAACGCATCAAATCATCAACTTCCTCCACTAAGTGCATTAAAATCTGTTTATATCAAAACAAAGTCGTTTTAACTAGTTCACTCTCTCTATTCACTATATAAACTCGCTAGATAGCATTTATTTTTATCTAAATGCGTTGAAACAGCATTTCAGCGTTTATTTTTCTGCATGGATAGTTACGCTAGCATGCGATTCAAAGTCAATGAATAGAAAGATTTTGATGATGTTTTCTTGTGATAAACATTACCAGCGTCAACTCTCATTTCCTTTTTATGTGGAACGTAATTTATATAGACATGCATGAATTAAAAAAGAAATAAGTAAATTATTAAGATAGTATAATATATTTTCATTTGAAGAAAAAACTCGTGCGTGTATGTTTTATATGAGTTGAGCAGCGACATGCTTCCAGATTTGTATTTTACAATAAACTTTTCCATTCAACTAATAGCTTCAGTTATTGGTGTAGGTTTTTGTATCTTGACGATTTTCATCGTTATTATCAATCGACAATGTCACAATATTACTAATCTGCTACAATGTAATACATGCGTCACAGTTATTTTCTATTTTATCATAGTTACTATCACATCTATCAATGGATTTCGAGAAGATTGGGCATTCAATGCACCACTTTGTACTTTTCGAGGCTATTGTTTCGTCGTGGGTCTTGCTCTTATTTGCTATTCATACTCAATTCATGCGATTAGTCGTCTATTTTTCGCTGTTTTCTACAAACATAGATATCTTCATACTTATCGTACGCATTGGATATTGATTATCATCAACTGGTTGTTCGGTTTTTTAGTACCAATTGTACCTTTTTCTATTGAGGGTTCTTACGGACTAGAAGAAGAATCTCGTAGCTGTGTCCTTAAAACTGAAATATTTGCCGGTTCACTTTATGCTTGTGTAACAGTATGCCTCATTCCATTGAATGCTGTAACAATTGTTTATGGAATTATTCTTTATCAAGTTCGTCAATCTACTAGGCGAGTTATGCCTTTTGCACCAAGTGGTGGTCCTGGCAATAATGTTGCGACGCCAAATATGAAACGTGAGGTGAAAATTATGCGACAAATGTCAACACAAAGTGGCATGATAGCAAGTGGAGGATCACTTATTTTTGTACTTTGTATTTGGCATGGAATAAAGAAGGATTCTGCGCCAGAACCATTGTATTTGTTAGCTTTCACTTCAATAACGGTTTTTGCTTTAATGTTGACAATAGCTCAATTCATCATGAACGAAAAAGTAAAAAGTATTGCTGTTCAATATGTTTGCCCGCGTCAACCAACCATTATTCTAAGTACGACGACTCAACAACGAGTTGTACGATAAACTATAATGATATGACATACAAACTTTTATTTACGTTCAAAATTAGCTTTTTATCTTGAAAAATAATATTGCATTTTGATATTTTATCTTTTAATAAACTTATCATGATTTTTAAAAGCATGTTTTAAATAGTGGGATAATCAACATTGTTTTAATCAAGCACTGAATACATCTTTCATATTAGCAACTGATGTATAGCTAAACCAATCAACATAGAATTTCATACTCTTTTTTTTTATATCTCACTCCTAAACGCGAGTGTTCGCCTGTATCCTGAGAATCGAATCGAGTAGAACATAACAACATATCTTGTAAAGTTCACATATTAGTTTTCATAGGCGATGAAGCACACTCAATTTAAAGAAAGCTCGAAAAAATCTTCTAATGATGACAAAAGGGCGAAAAAGAGTAGTGGTGAACTTTTAGAATTCTCTAACTTTTCTGGAGCTCACTTCAGAGCATCGCTAACACTGTTCTTTCTTAATTTTACAATACATAGAATGTTTACACTAAAGTGTCGAACAGAATAACCAGGAGTGACTACTAGATCTTGGCCGTCTTTCAACAAACGATACGACTGCTTCAGTCCTGAAGAGGCTAACAGCTGTTCAGCAAAATTTTTGATCTATTGTGTGTCAAGCAAGTCACAGTTCAGCAGTAATTTATGTTTCAAAACACACTAGCAAGATTTGTGTACTTGCTTAGTATTGCGACGCTACTAATTTTCCTAGTTTCTTGTAAGAAACTGGTTTAAAAAAATGAAGAATAACTGAATTCCGTTCGTACGCTCACTCTTTGGGCTGTTATTCAATAACACTGTACACTTGACTCACGAAAGAACATATTTAAGAGAGAATTCGTAAGACCATCAAGTATACGAGGCACTGGATAAAAAAAAAGTTGTCGATT